TTCAGATTCTCAGATTACGATCAAAACTCTCCAAAAAATATTCTTCTCGAAACACTTTTCAATCCGTCAAAATTTCATGAAACTCGAAAAAATTCTTTTCTACCTTAACGGGTATGTTACATGTACAAAGTGAACACGTATCGTCACTTTTTTTCAACACTTTCCTTTGATCCGGATCGGGCACATCCACTAACTGCACTGTTGTCGTATCGCCGACAGTCTCGATTGATACTGAAGTCGCAAATTCTTTTTCCATATTTATCTATTCAAAGATGCGATCAAATCTCAAAAATGTTCATCCTCTTCGGTCAGGATCCCAAGCGAAACTGCTTCATTTTCTGACGATTCCCACCCAATCCTCTTTGAAATGTTCACAAAACCAGCATCATTTTATCATCTCACTGTCATGAATTTCCACAAAACTCTCGAAAAAACCAGTGAGGTTTTCGACGGAATTTTTGGAGTATCGAATAAATCCTCATCAGTTGTATAAAATGTTACCTCAATCGAATCACCATCAATAATTCAAAACAAAAACCGTACTGATCCAATACCGAAACCTGTACACTTACTTTTTTTCACCGAACACGATGCGCTCCTATGCAAATTGTTCGCCAATCGTAACCGAAAAGATGATGCAACAGCAGCCGAGTGTTTCATAAGATTCAATAACATTTTCACATATATACACTCCCTGTTAACACTTCACAAATCCATTCCCTCAAATTTCATTGTTAAATATTTCAACATTATACATTTACACATATTCTGTCCTCGTTATATCTGATTTTAAACAACGTCAACACTCAAAAGAAACAGTACTATAACTTCACTCAGTCTGAACAACTGGAAATTAAAAACAACTGCAAACCAAAATCTCCAACAAAACATCACCATCATCATCCCAAATGAATTTTCTTTTGCAAACAACAAACCCTAAAATAAACCCTCAAAATGACCACAACAAAAATCCCTTACAAAAACCCCTATGTGATGGCACACGACAAATCCCGTGCCGTAATACCCCGAACAATGACTAATTCGCCATGGCTTATCACATCCACTAAATAAATCCCCACCTAGTCATCAAATTTCATACTACTCCTTAATTTCATACAAATTAAATTTCAACACAAAATCACTTCAACACGTCAATAATTCAGTACTGCGCTTCTCACACATTCAGTAAAATTCGACTAGAAATGTCAAAAATTTGAAGTCAAAAATTTTATTGTATCAATTTTTATAGAAGAATAACTTATCGATTCAATGACAATGATATTCGAGGAGACGATGGGATATTAATAATGATAATAATAATAATAATAACATTAATAATACCAATAATAATAATAAAAACAATAACAATAAAACGGTACTAATAATAACAATGATGATAATGAACAAACCAAGCGAACAACTCATACACGTGATGAAA